TGCAGTTTGGTTCTTGGAGTTTTTGTAATCGACCATGATTTATCTTTCCACGTTTTATTGAAGGTAATAATCATTCTATCTTAGTCACATATATTGCAACCCCCCTGGCTGTTATAAATATATCACAATATTGACAACATGGTTTGGTTTCCTTTAATGCTTTTGATGCCTAATGTGTCTGGTAGAGTAAAAAGAGGATTGTGGGTGGGGAAAAAGAGTGGAGAATACACTATTGACTAGGGTTGTGTCTGAAATCGCTCCCTATACCCTCATTCACTATTTCCTACATTACTCAACCAATATAGTTCACTTGAAGGAGTGAATGAAAACGAGTGAGTGAATTCGGACTCTGAGTGCGCCAAAAGCCCTGCCGCTTTTGCATATTTGTGCTCGCAACTATTTCAAATTTGGCAAACTTGCAGCTCCAGTTGTAATTAAAATATTTATCCTGAACTCTGTCATGGAAACTAGCATGTATAAACCGTAATTAAACAATTTAATAATAAATTAAAAAGGAATTTATATCTGTATGATATTACGCTGTAGCCACATTGGACCAGCACAGCAGTTTGTAAAATGGATGGATGGATTATTCAGCTGTCGGCACCATCTTCTGGTCAGACGCGGGAATTCATTCGGCGCGTGACTCACAGTGCATTATGGGTATTCTCTAGCCATTGAGTTGTACATATGTTGTACATTTGTTATTGGGGTGCATTGTGGGATTGAATGAGTGCACTCAATAATGTCCACTGTGGTCCATAAATGGTTGTTCCCTCAAATAGTGCCCTATTTAAGGGTATAGGGGCGATTTCAGACACAGCCTAGATCCCCAGCTGGCCCGAAAAGTGCAGCCAGTGCACAACACAAACACAAATTCACACAACTACACAATGAATGCCAAGAGTTTCTGAAAATAGTGCCAATTTCACATGTGTTTTTACTTTAAATCAATTAAATCATGCACACTACGTATGCATGATATATTGGTACCTTATCATGTATGCTGATATTGGGGATTTTTAAATGTTTTGTTCAGCATTGGACATTTAATTGTGCATGCTTATTATTTTTACATTTAGGTTAATTTTGACTCAAAACTCAGATAATCTTATTGCTGGTAATATGCTTTTTTTATACAGTATATATAGTTGACAGATGTTTTTTTAATGGGCAGTATACAGATATCTAGAGAGTAGGGTGACCAATGTCCGATTTAATACTATTATATATAATGCAGATATATATGTAATACAACTTCATGATGACAACTGAGATGTTAAGTATTCACCAATTTTGTTAAAGGGATACTCTACTGGTTTTTCATATTAAACTATGTTATTCCCTTAACTAAGACGAGTTGATACATACGTCTCTCGTCTCAGTGCGTGCACTACACAAAATAAAACGTTGCGCTTTTCTAAGCGTGTAAAATGGATAACTATATTGTATGGCAGAATACCATAGCAAGTGCTTGGGAGCACTTCGACTCGGCGCAGTAATATCATCACTCGTGAAAAATCCTGTGTGGAAGTGTTCCATTCAATAAAAGTGTTCTTTCTTGTTCCACAGAAGAAAGTAAGTCGTACAGGTTTGGAATGACATGAGGGTAAACTCAGTAAATGATGACAGAATTTAAATTTTGGGTGAACTGTCCCTTTAAATTCACTATTGTAAGCAAATGCTTATCTGTGAACAAGGTTGTCAGTTGATTTTGTAATTCATACAAGTTAGAACTAAGACTGTTTGAGATTGTCAGATGATGCAGATAATTGTTAGCCTAATTGGCCAAACTGTCTGTAGATCTATTCAACCTCTGAAAGTGTTCCTGGTCTTGAGCTCTAGTGAAATAATGTGTATGTGTGTGTGTGTGTGTGTGTGAGAGACCACCATGGTAGACCACCTGTTTGTGTACTTGTGGACCACCTCTCCCCGTAATGGGGTTCTGGTAGGCAGCAGCTCTGGGGCCCCTTAGTGACTTCAGGCCCTAAAGAACCTTGGCAATCCTATGTGTGATTTACGGAGTGTGTGTGCGGATTGATCCATGTGTGTGTGACTATATGCAGGTCTTCTTGTTTCTCCTCTTCTGGGGCTTTTTCCCTGCACGGGTCATATGCTCACGTACAAAACTCCTTTATCTTCTTGGCATAGGAACAGCGCGGTGCCTAATAATTTGTGTGTGTGTGTGTGTGTGTATGGCAGAAAGCTGTGGGGTCTTTCTCACAGTAGTTAAATCAATGCTAATGAAACACTTTAGCTGAGGTGCGGGCCGAGCTGAAAGCTTTAAACAATGAACTGAGACGGAACGACACACCTACATCCTACCTGCTCTCCAAGAACTCCAGCGTTCAGATGCCGATCGAAACCAACCCCACACTGGCCCTTATAATGCCATCGTCTGTGCTGTACTGTGAAGCATCATGTTTTTGGACAAATCGCATTTTATGCCGAAATGACCACCTCATGTTTTCTTGATCGGAAAGTCACCCAGTTCTCGATCTCATAAAAAAAAACACAACTATTTTACGAGGTGACGATTTCGTTTAAATTTATGAAAATTTTAGGGAAGAAAAGAAGGGAAAAACAGAGTATAAATGTATGTAGAAATGTACAAAAACATATGAATGGAATTGTACAAATTTGAAAATGAAACAGCTTCTCAATTATAAAAAAATATATTTGATTTTGTTAATCGGAAGTTGATTGAATGGTTGTATTTTGCTTTAGAGTGGAACAGTTGGGTTCCTGAAGTAAAAACTCATTTTCTCCATAAGGAAATTGACTTTGATCGATAACTTATTAACCTTTAAAGACAGACCTGTGAACTACGAGGTTGTCAATCCATCATGGCATTTGCTTCTGCTGAAGCCATCAGACTGCTTTATTTCAGGTTTTTTATTTTATTTTTTATAATCATGTTTAACAGCGGAATTCCTTGTGAAAAAATACATTACCCATGATGCTGTACATAAAATTAAACCAATCTAGACCAATCAAAATTAGACCAATCAAAAGTCTAAATAGCTCTTTAGCTCCGCCCACGCCAATGAAGCACTGCTAATGACATAATTGAATTGATCTCTCTTCACTCTCAAAATACTTTTGTGTGTGTGTGTGTATAGGCTTAGGCTATATATAAATTCAGGGTTTGAAATGAACTTTTTCACTCACTGGCCAATTTGGCTACAGAATTTTTAAGTTCATTCAGAACTTCTACTAGCCAAAAGAAAAAAAGAAATGAACCAGATTAACTACATCACAGTTTATATATGTCTTTGAATTAAAAAAATTGTTTTGCTCAAAATCAAAGTGTTATGATTCACCTTGTAGCTGATTGACATGGTTCATGGCTTTTATTTTTTTAAGAAAGACTGTTTTGAAATCCTTATATGGGAAAAATGAATGGAAAAAGTGGGCGGGCACTGTTGCACTCTTTTGGGTGATGTCACGTGAGTGACAGGTTTTCCCGCCCTCGCGCCAGTAAATACGTCATTAGAGATGTCGCTGCAAGTGGGAGGGGAAGTTGTCTTGAATATAGATTAAAAGGGCACATAACTGAACAGACAAATCGAATGCGAGAATCTGATCAAATATTCGTGCCGAACATTTGTCTTGTTGTGAGTGTGACCGAATTCCTATACCCACCAATTCTTTAAAACTTAAAATACCGTAGCATAACCAGGTGGCAGCGTCTGTGCCTGCGTAATTATGAGGTGGCAGGGCAGAGCCACGGAGTGTGTGATGCCACGCTGGCCGGAATCGCAGGTCTCACACGCCGGGGTGCCGCGTGGTGTCGGGGAGCTGAGACAAATATGGTTCGGGTTAAACGGGGCAGAAAGAAATGTTTACTCACAGCAGAAGCATAAAAAGAGGCATTGAGACGCATCACGGGGGGTGCACAGGGGAGGCTCATTAGATGAAACCGTGTTTTGGCAATGCTTGTGGTTAATGGTGTTGGAGAATGCCCTGAGAGACAGGCATCTGAAAAACATTACCCTGGCAGAGCCGCTGGTATGCGGGCACCGCCGACCACAGAAGGGACGTTAAGCGGATTTTTGCTCTTGTAGGCAATGGAACGCAGTTTAGAGACGTTTTAGCTGGGCTGTGTTCGAATGGAATCTTAAAATAATGACAAGCGAGTGTACTTAACCTAGAATGTTTAAAGAAAGCATTTTAAAATATACACATTCGCCACAAGGTGGCAGCGTAGTCCACAGTGGAGCATCAGGCAGGGACGCTTCGTGAGAGCATTGACCACATAATAAGAGGCCGTTTTGACAGAAAAGACCCAAAACAGATATCATCGTTTTTGAAGTCGACTCTTCAATATTCATAACTAAAACCAAGACAAAATCTATCTTTGCCATTTGGGCATTTGGATCCAGTTGGAGGTTGATCTGGGTGGCCCTGGAGTGCAGAAAATGAGCACATCTGGGAGGAATGGCAGGCAGAGAGCTCGTTGAGTGTGGTGTGACACTAACCAAATGGCTGTCTTAAGTTTTACCAAACAGCTATTGGATACGCTCTCCATAGCCCAGTCCAGTCTCTCTCTCATGCAGACGCTCTGGGAAGTGCTGATTTATTCCGCCGCTAAGCAGAGTTTAATGAAAAAAACTTGATTAATGGAGTTAATTGCCATCTGCAAGTGATTGTGGACATGTTGTGTGGCAGAATCTAGTATTGAGTTTGAAAGTCAATGACTTTAACAATAAAGTGAGTAATAGCTTCATTCTGGCAATGACACGTAAGCTTCCATAAACTCACTGACTCTGATGCCACAAAATGACTCTGGGGTGAGTGACACAGATTCAAACAGGTAAACAATGCTGTCACATGAAGAGTTGTATGCTTTTTGTGAATGTTGTGAATGTTCGCATATATTTTCATAGTACACAGAAAACCAAAAAGCCTCAAAGTGCTCTTGTTTGTTCTTTTGTGGTGTGTTTGTTTTTATCCATGTCAGTCTAGTAGTGAATTATTTATCTCTCTGTTTGGTTTAGATACAGATCCTCGTGTGTTGGAGAAACAGGAACTGCAGCAGCCCACATACGTCGCCCTCAGCTACATTAACAGGTACAGTACTATGCCTATATATGGTATTATTAGTATATATATATATATATATATATAAGAGAAAGATAGTTACACATATGAATGTACATACATTATGCACACACAGATACATTATATATATATTGTATATATTTGTACGTGTATGTAAAAGTTGTTTTTTATTTCATATTTCATAGATAAAGCGTATTTTCATTTTCCTTTTAGAAGGCCTCCTAACAGAGTTACAATAGTGTAAAATTCCTACTGTCAAATATTTCTGAGTAAATATTGTCTTTTTTGGCAAACGCCAAATTTTATTTGGATTAGTTTCTGTACTTTATTGTCCACAATGTATAAAATTTCTTTTGGAAAAACACAAACAGGTTTTATAAACAAAATACAAACGTAAAGATAAAACATAGTTTGAAATGGTATGCATTAAGTATGAATGAGTGTGTGAATGGGTGAATGTGAGGCAAATGTAAAGCGCTTTGGTGGCCATTGGGTCTGTGAAAGCGCTATATAAATGCAGTCCATTTACCATTAAAATATTAAAATGCATAAAAAAATGTACATATAGAAAATATTCAGCTAATTAATAGACTTCAGGTCATTATTAATTTATGTTGAATTGGGTTTTTCAACCTTGAAACTTACTGTTAAGCAGCCAAATAACAAAGATGATTCTCTTCATCATATATGGGAGCAGTCTAACATTTTTCTTAATGGGATTCTGTATTTTCTGGGAAATGGCCGTGTGGTCAAGTCTCCACTACATCCTCTAAGGTCAGTTTATGAAGCTATAATGAATTTCAAACCAGCACCCAAATTCTCTTCATATACACTCAGTTCGCTTGACTCAGTTGAATGTGGTTTGTGTAGGAATACTCAGAGCTCCAGTGTTAAAAACAGCTTTAATAGGCTGAATGGTGGTGGAAATTCTTGCAAAATGGAGACACTTTTGTCCTTGTATTACTGCTTTAAGTTGCTTCTACTGGTAATCTGTTAAATACACACCAGCCTTAATAATATCTGTGTGAACATTTATGCTTTATTACATAAATTTACTGACAGTTTTATAATGCAACAAAATAACTTGGAGCAAACAAGGTGTTATGAGGTGGATTTTAGACCCCACTGAATCAGCTGAATCACAACATATAGACTTATATGACAGATGGTTCATTTGTATAGAAGAAAGCTGTTGCAGGTTGTACCAGTATTTTGGAACTGAGAGAAAACATTTAATTTTTACTTTGTGGTCCTAATGGTTAGAGTTGGGACATGGATTGTACAGGAACACAGTACATCACTCTTGTTGGAAAGAATTGTGGGCCGTTGCTCACAGAACATGTTCTTGCATTCAGACACAGATAAATGGAATGCAACTGATCGAATGGAACAGAATGCAGATGTCTTAAGACATGTTTATTAAAGTTGAACCAAGACCAGTTTTAACTTGAAACAGACTCTTCCAGTCTAACAGCAAGGACGCCCGTCTGATACATTTACACTACTATTCAAAAGTTTCGGATTTGTACGATTTTTCAATGTTTTTGAAAGAAGACTCTGATGCTAACCAAGGCTGCATTTATTTGATCTTAAATACAGTAAAAACTAGGGGTGTGACAAGATCTCGTGCCACAATATTAAAACGTGACGATATTTCTCATGGAGGTGAAAAGCTGTCTGGTGATATCAGCATATTAAAACCACTTAAAAATCATAATATAGCATAGTGCTATTGTGAAATCACAAAGGCTGCGATTGAATTAAATAAACATGCGCTACATGTAAAGCGATTATTTGCTTTTGATAATTTTCCTCCTTGTTATTATATATGTATTTTAAGTCATTTGAAAGTCTATTGTTCACTTAGGTCTATTTTTATTACCACACAAAAAAAATTATCTGATTACTCGATTAACAAAATAATCATTAGTGACAGCCCGGTTTCAAGAAACGGTGGCGTGTTCCTTTAATTTATCTTTGTAAAAAAACTCATTGCTTAACTGGCTACTCTGCTGTCTCAGACACCGTGTTTGGGCCACCGTAACTTCTGTTGGTTGCAATTCACAACCTCACCACTAGATGCAGCTAAAAATTACACAGTGCACCTTTAAATACATTCCTTTTTTATTCATCTAATAAAGTTCACTTCTCTCTCTAGGTTTATGACAGACGCAGCACGGCGGGAGCATGAATCTCTGAAGAAGAAAGTTCAGCCAAAGCTGTCACTCTCACTGACCGGCAGCCTTTCACGCAATAGCGTAGCCACGCCCCCCCGCCACAACAGCGGTAACCTCACCCCACCCGTGACCCCGCCCATCACACCCTCGTCTTCATTCAGGAGCAGCACCCCCACAGGTAGTCCCATCAAACACACGCTCGTGCTGTTTATTCTGGCTTACACACACACACACACACACACACATTATCTGTAACGGCTTTTTATGTGCACTGTTTGTTGTATGCTTATTATATATATGTTTCCTAGAAAGATGAATTTTGGGTAATAACTGCATTAAACCTGCCATGCTTGTTTGATGCTCTCTTGTAATAGATAATAAAATAATCACAATCTGAGTCGCACACTGTTTTTTTTTTTCATAGCTGCTGTTTCCCATGGCCTTCTCTGGAGCAACATGTGCTCTCTCTCCCACAATTAGATGTTTTGGGCATTTTATTTGTGTGGGTTTGGAACACAAACTGAATAGTCTCCAAATTACTGGTATCATACTATTACTGTGCGTTAACCTTCTTAGACCTTCTTATGCCTTCCAGGCTCTTTCTCATAAAATGCAAATGCTTTGCTGCCTGGGCACAGTATTCTGATGAGGACTGTGAGAAAGATTACTGTACCAGTTTGCCTTAAAAAAATGAAATCACATGTTTTCTGGCACAAGGGCGGGACAACCTGTCACTCGCATGAGAACACAGCAATAGCAAAGCACAACCATCCATTCAATTCCTGATGGATAAAAATTTTTCTTTTCTTGTAGAAGCCTTTTCACTCTGATATACGTCACAATAGGGAAGATGAGACCATTTCTGTTTCATGCCGTCTTTAAAGCTTTTGTATTTGTGCTGTGGTGGCTGATGGGAAATGCTGTTTTCTGGTTCTGGTGGTGTAGTAGTTAAATATGTGGCCTAATAAGTTTTGAAGCATTGACTGTTCCATAACATGATCAATTACTAAATGATTCCTTGCTATGTGCTCTCAGGCAGCGAGTACGATGAGGAGGAAGCAGAATACGAAGAGTCCGACAGTGACGAGTCATGGACCACCGAAAGTGCCATTAGTTCTGAATCCATCCTCAGTTCCATGTGCATGAATGGCGGTGATGAGAAACCCTTCGCATGTCCCGTGCCTGGATGCAAAAAGAGATACAAGGTAAAAGGACTTCAAATAAATAGGTTCAAGTGTCTGTTCACTGTATATTTGTGAATGATCCTCAAGACCCTTATTGTTCAGATTATATACTTCAAGACATTTGTCAGGGTTTTGTTCTTAAAACACTCTTGTGTGTGTAGGACTTATTTCTTACGCATCTCATCCCAAGCCTCCATTGCTAATTCCAAAACGTCATTTTAGAGCTAGAAACGGAGGTTTGAGCCTCTGATAGCAGACTAATGCAGTTATTAAAGGGAGAGAGTGAATTACCTCAGTCCATGCGTGTCTCAACAGTGTTTAACATCAGCATCTCTACTAATAGTTTACCTGTAAGTTTATCTGCTCCAAGAATAGCGCCATTATTACCTTGTTAGTGAGAAAAGTGTACACGAAATGTAGCTTTTAAGTTGCTAAACTATTTTTTTGATAAAATCATCAGAGCAGCGCTGACAACACGTTTCTGTTCCGTGACCGTACTGTATGTGTGTGCATTTGAGTGGGAGAGAGAGCCGGAGAAAGAGAACATGTGCTTTCCGTGCATAATAAAATGTTATTATGTGGCAAAAAACATGGAAATAATTTTGTCGTTTTTATCCTATTGTTTACTGTATTTATTTGCTAGGTCTGTGTCATTGTGGGTTTTGGTTCTTTTGCTGTTATAGGCTGTAAGGACCTTTGAAATAACTGAAATTGTTTGGCGAAGTGATATGGAATTGTAATGCGGTCAAGACCTGCCTGGAACTACGTGCGTTTCCCTGAAAATAATTGCAGACCTCAGAACGTTTGTCAACCAATCAGATTCAAGCATTCAACAGCCCCGTAGTATAAATTATTTGAATAAATATATATATATATTCAAATAATTTATACTACGGGGCTGTTATATGTGTGTGTCTGTGTATATGTATATATATATATATTCATAATAATGTTGGTAATACATTTATCTTCACATATATATATATATATATATATACAGGTCCTTCTAAAAAAATTAGCATATTGTGATAGTTCATTATTTTCCATAATGTAATGATAAAAATTAAACTTTCATATATTTTAGATTCATTGCACACCAACTGAAATATTCCAGGTCTTTTATTGTTTTAATACTGATGATTTTGGCATACAGCTCATGAAAACCCAAAATTCCTGTCTCAAAAAATTAGCATATCATGAAAAGGGTCTCTAAACGAGCTATTAACCTAATCATCTGAATAAACTAATTAACTCTAAACACCTGCAAAAGATTCCTGAGGCTTTTAAAAACTCCCAGCCTGTTTCATTACTCAAAACCGCAATCATGGGTAAGACTGCCGACCTGACTGCTGTCCAGAAGGCCATCATTGACACCCTCAAGCAAGAGGGTAAGACAGAAAGAAATTTCTGAACAAATAGGCTGTTCCCAGAGTGCTGTATCAAGGCACCTCAGTGGGAAGTCTGTGGGAAGGAAAATAGTGTGGCAAAAAACGCTGCACAACGAGAAGAGGTGACCGGACCCTGAGGAAGATTGTGGAGAAGGACCGATTCCAGACCTTGGGGGACCTGCGGAAGCAGTGGACTGAGTCTGGAGTAGAAACATCCAGAGCCACTGTGCACAGGCGTGTGCAGGAAACGGGCTACAGGTGCCGCATTCCCCAGGTCAAGCCACTTTTGAACCAGAAACAGCGGCAGAAGCGCCTGACCTGGGCTACAGAGAAGCAGCACTGGACTGTTGCTCAGTTTTGCATGTCATTCGGAAATCAAGGTGCCAGAGTCTGGAGGAAGACTGGGGAGAAGGAAATGCCAAAATGCCTGAAGTCCAGTGTCAAGTACCCACAGTCAGTGATGGTCTGGGGTGCCATGTCAGCTGCTGGTGTTGGTGCACTGTGTTTTATCAGCTAGCTATCAGGAGATTTTGGAGCACTTCATGCTTCCATCTGCTGAAAAGCTTTATGGAGATGAAGATTTCATTTTTCAGCACGACCTGGCACCTGCTCACAGTGCCAAAACCACTGGTAAATGGTTTACTGACCATGGTATTACTGTGCTCAATTGGCCTGCCAACTCTCCTGACCTGAACCCCATAGAGAATCTGTGGGATATTGTGAAGAGAAAGTTGAGAGACGCAAGACCCAACATTCTGGATGAGCTTAAGGCCGCTATCGAAGCATCCTGGGCCTCCATAACACCTCAGCAGTGCCACAGGCTGATTGCCTCCATGCCACGCCGCATTGAAGCAGTCATTTCTGCAAAAGGATTCCCGACCAAGTATTGACTATTGAGTGCATAACTGAACATAATTATTTGAAGATTGACTCTTTTTTTGTATTAAAAACACTTCTTTTATTGGTCGGATGAAATATGCTAATTGTTTGAGACAGGAATTTTGGTTTTTCATGAGCTGTATGCCAAAATCATCAGAATTAAAACAATAAAAGACCTGAAATATTTCAGTTGGTGTGCAAGGAATCTAAAATATATGAAAATTTAATTTTTATCATTACATTATGGAAAATAATGAACTTTATCACAATATGCAAATTTTTTGAGGAGGACCTGTATATATATATGAAGATAAATGTATTACCACCATTATTTAAACGAGTTTATTGAGGTTTTCATTCTCTAAAAAGCAAGTTTACAGCACACACGTGTATCCCATTAACAATACCAATCACCAGTGGCACAAATGTGATCAAACAGTGAATGCTGGCCTCTCATTGTTTAGCCGTCAAAGACTTTATTAACACTAAGAGCTGTAATATGGACAAGACTGGTAGCTTGCTTGACATACATTTTAAAGACATACATGCAGTCCACTGCAAGGCCTGTGTGTTTTATGAGATTTTCCACTGCCATCTGGTTCTGGCTGCTGAGATAAATGATGTACAGCCTGTGAGAGCTGCATTCAGGCCGAGGAAATGCACGATGACAGCCTGTTCAGATGTGGCTTTATTCGTTTTCAGTCTTCACCTCTGTCAAACAGCTGACGGTTTCCTTCACGATTTCACACAACACTGGATGGTTTATGTCTGGAGTTATTAAAGGGCATTTTTAGTCACGCATCATTTTGTTTGCCATCATATTATTGATAATTATATGTTATAATATCAACACAGAATTTAAAACTGAATTGGATTGTAAGACAACATTTGTTTGCTCAGTTCCAGATAGGGACTGACAGAATTGTTCATGAAAACGGCACAGAGAGCACATTTGCAGCTTACAGTCCCTATCTGGAACTGAGTTTGCCTTGGACCTCAAACCCATTCCATTGGCTGAAAGAACTTTTGATGGATACTCTTTTCCCTTCCTGATTAGAAATCCTACATGCTGCTAACCAATTAGCTTGCTAGCTTAGCCTAAACCCTACGCTAATGTTCAATTATATGTTTTTATACACTACAATTTGGCGTTGGTAAGATTTGTTCAATGTTTTTCAAAGAAGTCAATACAGTAAATTACAATAAAAACATTAATATTGTGTAATATTTTTACAATTTAGAACCACTGCCTTCTATTTTAATTAGTGCTGTCAAATCGGTTAATCACGATTAATCGCATCTGACATAAAAGTTTGTATATGTGTGTGTGTCTGTGTGTATATAATGTATGTACACACACACACACACACACACTTTTATGTTAGATGTGATTAATCGTTTTGACAGCACTAATTGTAATATATTTTAACATGTAATTTTTTCCTGTGATGGCAAAGCTATATTTTAACTTCAGTGTCACATGATCCTTCAGAAAGCATTCTAATATGCTGATTTGGTGCTCAGGAAATATTTATTATTATCAATGTTGAAAACAGTTGTGCTGCTTAATACTTTTGTGGAAACTGGTACCTTTTTTCAGTATTCATTGACGAATAGAAAGTTTAAAAAACAGAATTTATTTGAAATCCTTTGTAACATTATTGTCTTTACTATCACTTTTCATAAATTTATTAGAAATATTAATTTCTTTAAAAATTCTTACTGACCTCAAACCTTTGATTGGTAGTGTTTATATTATAGATGCAGTTTTGTGGGTCAATCAAGAATTACTTCAAAACGAATCAAAACGCATCAGTGAATTGTTGAATTTTTTCCTGTGGTCAATTATGGTGAATATCTGTTGTGGATAGTGGATGATTGTCTGTTTTGTGCTTTTCTCTTTTGCAGAATGTGAATGGTATCAAGTACCACGCCAAGAACGGCCACCGCACTCAGATCCGTGTTCGCAAGCCCTTTAAGTGCCGGTGTGGTAAAAGTTACAAAAGCTCTCAGGGGCTTCGACACCACACCATCAACTTCCACCCGCCCGTCTCTGCCGACATCATCCGCAAGATGCAGCAGTAAAGAGTGCCAACGTCACACACACACACACACAGAACCGCTCCAAATCCATCCGCACCAGCAGCCGTGGCTGTCCATTAACTTTCATCCATCTCGTCCGCAGAGTTTTGGAGGACATCCCAAAAAGATTTGTCTCGAGGACGTTTTTGTCTGTATTTTACTCTTTTAAGAGTAAGCCTCATTTCCCCTGTTCATTCCACTCCTCACGAGGAGGAAACTTTAATCTTTTTATATTCCTCTTCCTCAGGGAAGAATCCCTGTATCATTCCGAACCTCCATGAGGAGGATTTGATCCAACCAATCCTTTCAAAACACTACACTCTGAATTGCATGCTTTTACTTTTTTGTTCATTTTGTATTATTTCTATTGCTATTTTTGCACATTCGCTATTATTCTTTTTATTTTCCTTGTTTCTTTCTTTTTTATGCAAGGTGCTTATTGTAAAAGACTGACGATATGTTTGGAAAGGAGATGATCGCGACTAGATTACCAGCCTCACACCGAACGGAAGACAAGGATTTGACGTGACGTCGGTGACTTTGTGAGAAACCGTAAGATAGGAAAGCCTTGAAAAGTCTAAATGTTTGTAATGTAACGATATCTACCCCTATATAAGCAACATTCATAGCTACAGATTGTGTATATATGCTATATTCTATAAGTGTTCATAGTCAGATCTAGATTCTATACTTTATTTCCTAAGTTTGATTTTGTATATTTTCATCCAAACTTCAGAGATGGATTGATTATGGATGTGCAGTTTTTCGGTTAATCTCAGAAAAGCACCAAATGACTCTCAGGTGACAAATCACCAGCATTTCACAACCATAATCCTGCCCGACTTCGATAGTATTTTAGAGTAAGCTGTTACACGCTTCCCGGGTCCGCTGTGGCCGGAGTGTTCTAGAGCGTTCTAGAACTCCACAGTGATCTTTAGGAGATCTGGTGAAGAACATAAAGCACTTTGTAGTGACCAGTTGCCAACCTGTTTAGGGCATTTTGTATTGCCAAGAAGTCTGATGCTGCAGAATGTTGTCTGCAAATCAGCTGCGAAATTCAAAGGACTAATATGGCACTTTGGAGGTTTCTGCTTCTAAGGTTTTTCTTCTTTTTCTTTCTAGCTAAGGGAATTCATTCTTTTGCTATACCTCCAGTGTGCTTGTTAGTTGTGAGATTATTGAAACTGGTTGCCTTGAATTGTGGTACACCACAGCATTCCAGTACAGTATATGTGTAGCCAAGTGATTCAGATTGTCTGTTGACCCTGATTCTGGCTCGTCTCTGGTGTTGTCCGTGTGACCTTTCATTGGGAAGATGTATAGTTCCAGCCAACCCAAAGATTCTCGAACCTTGAATCGGAAAGGTACTTGATTTGATTTGCTTTTGGACTTCACAGCGATCACAGCCAGATCAGGGCCTGCCAATCACTCATTATGACATCACTGCATGGACGTTAATGTTGTTGGAATTGCAGTGTCGGTTTAGATGCAACTTTGTAACAGTATTACACTGCCAGTATAGAGGGAAGTATTTGATATATTGTGTACTTAATGTATTGTCTCAATGTGAGTGATTTAAATTATATTTTCTTAAGTTTCTGGACAACAATGTTCCTACATGTAATGAAGTCAGACACCAGGGGTTGTTTTGGAACTGGTGACATTTTCTGCAACAAAATTCAAAAAAAAAAAAAAAAAAAAGAAGCTGCTTCGTAAATGTAAACATGGTTACATTTTAAATATTAAAATGGCCTTTGATCTGTTTAATGACTTTTCTTTGTCATTTATTCCCTCTAGGATTTTTTTAAATATCAAGCTTAAAATGTGGATTTAATATATATTATACACATGCACACATTACATTTTATATATATTGTAACGCAGTTCAGATGTTATGGGAAGAAGGAGGCGGGAACCGGTGAACATTTCACAAGTTTAATAAAATAAAACAAATACAAAACGAAAGTAAAAGACAGCAGCCCCTCACGGACGACTGCTGTCGCATTTAATAAAACAAAACACAACATAAGTTCAGGCCTGTTCCTCTCTCGATCTTCACAGTCGTCGCTCCTCATGCTTCCGCTCCTCCGTGAGAGATACGAGACCGGTGCGTCTCACAGGTGTCATTCATCATTAATCACGCCACCGACCTCGCACAGTTCTCTCACGTCCCTCGACCTCGTCCTGCTTGCCACATATATATATATATATATATATATACTGAACAAAATTATAAACGCAACACTTGTTTTTGCCCCCATTTTTCATGAGCTGAACTCAAAGATCTAAGACTTTTTCTATGTACACAAAAGGCCTATTTCTCTCAAATATTGTTCACAAATCTGTCTAAATCTGTGTTAGTGAGCACTTCTCCTTTGCCGAGATAATCCATTCACCTCACAGGTGTGGCATATCAAGATGCTGATTAGACAGCATGATTATTGCACAGGTGTGCCTTAGGCTGGCCACAATAAAAGGCACAATGCCACAAATGTCGCAAGTTTTAAGGGAGCGTCCAATTGGGATGCTGACTGCAGGAATTTCCGCCAGAGCTGTTGCCCGTGAACTGAATGTTCATTTCTCTACCATAAGCCATCTCCAAAGGGGTTTCAGAGAATTTGGCAGTACATCCAACCGGCCTCACAACCGCAGACCACGTGTAACCACACCAGCCCAGGACCTCCACATCCAGCATCTTCACCTCCAAGATCGTCTGAGACCAGCCACCTGGACAGCTGCTGCAAAAATGGGTTTGCATAACCAAAGAATTTCTGCACAAACTGTCAGAAACCGTCTCAGGGAAGCTCATCTGCATGCTCGTCGTCCTCATCGGGGTCTCGACCTGACTGCAGTTCGTCGCTGTAACCGACTTGAGTGGGCAAATGCTCACATTCAATGGCGTCTGGCACTTTGGAGAGGTGTTCTCTTCACGGATGAATCCGGGTTTTCACTGTACAGGGCAGACAGCGTGTATTTATATCGAGTGGCCCATGGTGGCGGTGGGGTTATGGTATGGGCAGGTGTATGTTCTGGACAACGAACACAGGTGCATTATATTGATGGCATTTTGAATGCACAGAGATACCGTGACGAGATCCTGAGGCCCATTGTTGTGCCCTTCATCCACGACCATCACCTCATGTTGCAGCATGATAATGCACGGCCCCATGTTGCAAGGATCTGTACACAATTCCTGGAAGCTGAAAACATCCCAGTTCTTGCATGGCCAGCATACTCACCGGACATGTCACCAATTGAGCATGTTTGGGATGCTCTGGATCGGCGTATACGACAGCATGTTCCAGGTCCTGCCAATATCCAGCAACTTTGCACAGCCATTGAAGAGGAGTGGACCAACATTTCACAGGCCACAATCAACAACCTGATCAACTCTATGTGAAGGATGGTGGTCACACCAGATACTGACTGGTTTTCGGACCCCCTCACCCGGACCCCCCAATACAGTAAAACGGCACATTTTAGAGTGGCCTTTTATTGTGGCCAGCCTAAGGCACACCTGTGCAATAATCATGCTGTCTAAACAGCATCTTGATATGCCACACCTGTGAGGTGGATGGATTATCTCATCAAAGGAGAAGTGCTCACTAACACAGATTTAGACAGATTTGTGAACAATATTTGAGAGAAATAGGCCTTTTGTGTACATAGAAAAATGAGTTCAGCTCATGAAAAATGGGGGCAAAAACAAAATGTTGTGTTTATAATTTTGTTCAGTGTATATATTTGTATATGTACGTGTGTGTATATATATATATATATATATATGAGTGTGTGTGTATACAGTTGTGTATAAGGGTTTATAATTATAATTATATATGTAACAGAGTAAAAGATAATAATTCAGCTGTTTCAGGCCACTTTTACACTGTTTTTATGGAACCCATTTAGTATGAGTATTCAATAATAATAATGATAACGTTTTGTAACCAGTATTAATTTTGTTTTTTTGTCTTAACAATATTGTCAAAGTTCTGGTGGGACAACTTCCAAAAACTTAAGTTCCCAAAAAGTAGTTATTTAAAATTGTACTATGTTCCTATAAAACTTTCCAATAATACTAATACTAATACTACTGTTATAAATATATTCTAATTGTTTTTTTGATTAATAATAAATGTGTTTTTTATTACTGATAATCCTCAAAATCAAGTTTTACAATGCAGTTTTATAAGCCAAGGTAAATATTTTAAATGATAACTCCACATGACCAGAATAAATATTGCTTAAGTAAATCTTTATTAGTTTAGATGTAAGACACACTCACACAGTAAGAGACCAAATGCATTTAACTAAAGAAATGGAACAACAAAAAAAGAGGTTTGTGATTTCAGTGCAGAGGAAATGTGAGCATGGAACTCAATTAAAATAAGTGACTTAAATAGATAAAGGAAAAAACGCTAACTCAAATAACGTGATTATCAAGGTTTATCTTTAAAAGCTTATTCTAAAATAATTTTATAATATAGAATCACCCTCTTAGCTGGTCACATATATGCCCTGACAGAAAAAGCTGTGCTCTGCCTTGCACAGAGTATAGTAGGTGATACCTGACTTTTACACTATTGAACCTGGGGACGGTTCGCAACAGAATGCTTTATTATGACATTTGCTCAGTGTTCCTAAAGTATTCTTCTCCACCTGCCCTGCCAACTTGATATGAGAGGCGTTAAAGTGAGCTACAACAAACAGTACAGTCCTATAGACAAAATTGATCCCCAACTAAAATGGACACAAATAAAAGACCCTAAAACGCCACCCATTCATTTGGAATTCATTAACAGTATCCAACCTTCACCTTGACTGTGTTTAAATAAAGAATCAGTTCTCTACAGATGAATGCTCAAAGCTAAACATGCTGTTTAAAGTGGCTGTTAACTGCAACACAAATGTGAATGGGAAGTGGAGGCAAGCATACTGTTTCCCCGACTAGAAGTTGAGGACGTTACTGTCGAAGTGGGTGAGGACATGCTTCTCGAAGAGCTGCTGGTCGCAGTCGAGAGGGAACTGTTCGCTGCACATGGGGCAGATCTTCCAGTGGCTCTCCACGTGCTCCTCAAACTTCGACTGGTCGTAATGAGGAGGGAAGATGACTTCACACAGTGGACAGCGCTTCTGCTCCCCACTGCAAGAGAGAGGAATAACA